CCTCCTCACCTCGCCGTACAGATTACAACATGCTTCACACATTGGAAGCCGGGGGGACCCAAACGAGGTGGATCGGCCAGCCTGCCATGCCCTTTGTGCACTCCATGACCAACCATGCCATGCAAGAAACGTGCACAACAGAAGGGAGATGCTCGTCCACCTCTTCTCCTTCCTAGTGGCCGCCCGACGCTACATCCATCCGATTGTCCAGACAGCAACCGAGGGTGATAGAAAAAAAAAAAACAGCACTACATCTCCAACAGAGTGTTGCACATCATGAGGTTCGCCTAATCGGCCTTTTCGTAGTGCTGACTCTGCACGTCCACCTCCTGCTCGAGAATATCACTCCGCCTTGTCAGAATCGAGCACTGTCGTTTGCTCGCAGTGTCCACTGTTGTCGCCATCCATTGCCCGTGCTTGTCCATCATGTCTGTGATAGCCTCAAAGGTTTGTTGTCTGACATTTTTCTTGTTTCCTGCCCCTCCACCACTCCCACCGCTAAACGTTGAATTCCGCGTCAATCCCGCCTCGTCGTCCTGCCCCTCTCCACCCCCCTCGCTAGCCACCAACTCGTGCTGTCCGGCGGCAGAACCGCCCATCTGGACACTCCCGTCCGCTCCCGTGTCCGCCAGGTTGGCTAGATGGACGGTGTGATCTGCCTTCGTCATGGCCTCCATCTCCCGGTACACACGCTCACCCATCCGGAAGTCGGACTCTTTCTCCTTCCTTTCGGCAGGTGTTAACATGAATAAATCCTCTTTCCCTGGACAAACCCATGAATTTATGAACGTGTTTGAACTGTTGATAGAGGTTGTCCCATTTCTTCCCACAGTCGACGGCCTTCCTAGTTGTCACCCTGGCCTTCACTAACCTCTTCTCCGTGTCATCGCACTTCCACGTCCTCGATTTCATCCGCCCGTAGTTGTGTCCAAGGCCTGCGAGATGCACATCCTGGTCCCGTTTAGCTCGGACGAGAGCGATCATATGGTCGACCGACCAAAAGTCTCTGCTTTTGCTTCCCTCGCCTGCCGACGTGTCCTCCGCAGCCTTCTTCCCCTTCCTCCCCGCGCGCGCTTCACTACACTTCTTCGTGGCAGACCGCACTCCCCGTTTCCTCCCAAGTGGACGGATCTCCATTCCGGCGTCCTCGTCTTCTTCGTCGTGGTCGTTCGCACCGTCGTCACCTCCGCTATCTTCAGGCCCTCCGTTGTCGTTGTCCACGATTGTATCTTGTGCGCCGACATGCATCCTCGCCACACCTCTCGTTATGCCGGACGTCGTCGACTGCCGCAAATGTTGCCGCTGGTCTTCCCACACCTGTAGTCCGACAGCCTCTATGGCCGACCACTCCTCGTCGTCTCGTTGCCCGTCTGTCGCATTAGCAGGTGTCGTCGATCTGCACGGCTGCAACCCCCTCGTCCTCGTCCTGGACGCAGCCACACCGGCACCGCCAACAGCCCTCACACGTGGCTAATTTGATCCGCGATCGCAGGGCAACCCACGGTGGCACCCCTCGTCATATGGTGGAAGCCCACCCGTCCTCCCCGATGACCTTGCGTCAAAGCTTGCTGAAGCGGGGTTTACCACAACTGTGCGCGAGACGTTGTCACAGGCTCACAGCTACCTGGCCTCAGACCGAAACTGAGGTCGACCGCCCCTGTAACGGGAGTGAGGCTGAGGGTGAGCCGAGGGAGAGGAGAGAGAGAGGGAGAGAGTGAGAGCACACACACACACTCACTCACTCGACACGACGGACTCGGACTGAGGGTTGGACGCAGACACAGTGGCAAGGCACAAAGTCGAAGTCTTGGATTCCCAATGCCGAAATGGCAAGTCACACTGAGTACAAGTACAGCAGCAGAGAACTGGTACGAGACTGGTCCCCGTACCGTACGGGGAGCCGGTATAAGTACCGGTGACACG